TGTGAAATATATGATAAAGGCACAAAAAAATTTATACCAAAACAGAGATGCAGAACTAGGAAACAGGATTGGTTCAATAGAAATTGCGAGAGGGCTAGAGACCAAAAGACACAAAAATGGAATCAATACAGGAAGAGGCTGAACCCCCAAACATACCAGCGATACAAAGATGCGAGAAACAACTACACGGCAGTGAGGAGAGAGGCAGAAAGAAATTTTGAAAAAGGGATTGCAAACAAATGTAAAACAGAACCAGGTCTATTCTATAAATTCATAAACAACAAATTGCAGGTAAAGGATAATATTCAGAGGTTGAAAATGGGAAATAGATTCACGGAAGATGAAAAGGAAATGTGTGAAACACTAAACGAAAAGTTCCAAAGTGTGTTTGTACAAAATGAAATCTTTAGGGAACCAGATACAATAAGAATTCCAGAGAACAACATAGAGCACATAGAGGTATCTAGAGACGAAGTGGAAAAAATGCTCAAGGAGCTAAGTAAGAACAAAGCAGTTGGTCCAGATGGAGTTTCACCATGGGTTCTGAGAGAATGTGCACCTGAGCTCAGCATTCCACTTCAACTGATTTTTCAGGCATCCCTGTGTACAGGAGCTGTAGCCGATGTGTGGAAAAAGGCTAACATAGTTCCAATCTACAAAAGTGGAAACAGGGAAGACCCCCTTAATTTTAGACCTGTATCATTGACAAGTGTAATAGTCAAAATATTGGAAAAAATAATTAAAACTAAATGGGTAGAACACTTGGAGGAAAACTGCATAATATCAGACAGACAGTATGGTTTTCGATCTGGAAGATCCTGTGTAACGAACTTGCTCAGTTTTTATGATAGAGCCACAGAGATTTTACAGGAAAGAGATGGTTGGGTTGACTGCATCTATCTGGACCTACAAAAGGCTTTCGACAGAGTTCCTCATAAGAGGTTGTTCTGGAAACTGGAACATATTGGAGGAGTGACAGGTAAGCTACTAACATGGATGAAAAATTTCCTGACAGAAAAATGAGGGCCATAATCAGAGGCAAGGTATCGGATTGGAGGAATGTCACGAGTGGAGTACCTCAGGGTTCAGTTCTTGCACTGGTAATGTTCATTGTCTACATAAACGATCTACCAGTGGGAATACACAATTACATGAACATGTTTGCTGATGATGCTAAGATTTGCTGATGATGCTAAGATAATAGGGAAGATAAGAAACTTAGATGATTGTCATGCCCTTCAAGAAGACCTGGACAAAATAAGTATATGGAGCAACACTTGGCAAATGGAATTTAATGTGAATAAATGCCATGTTATGGAATGTGGAATTGGAGAACATAGACCCCACACAACCTATAAATTAGGTGAGAAATCTTTAAAGAATTCTGATAAAGAAAAGGATCTAGGGGTGGTTTTAGATAGAAAAATGTCACCTGAGGACCACATTAAGAACATTGTGCGAGGAGCCTATGCTACACTTTCTAACCTTAGAATTGCTTTTAAATACATGGATGGAGAAATACTAAAGAAATTGTTCACGACTTTTATTAGACCAAAGCTGGAATATGCAGTGGTTGTGTGGTGCCCATATCTTAAGAAGCACATCAACAAACTGGAAAAGGTGCAACGACATGCCACTAAGTGGCTCCCAGAACTGAAGGACAAGAGCTACGAGGAGAGATTAGAGGCATTAAATATGCAAAAACTAGAAGATAGAAGAAAAAGAGGCGATATGATCACTACGTTCAAAATAGTAACAGGAATAGATAAAATTGATAGGGAAGAATTCCTGAGACTCGGAACTTCAAGAACAAGAGGTCATAGATTTAAACTAACGAAACAAAGCTGCCGGAGAAATATACGAAAATTCACTTTTGTAAACAGTGGTAGACGGTTGGAACAAGTTAAGTGAGAAGGTGGTGGAGGCCAAAACCGTCAGTGGTTTCAAAGCATTATATGACAAAGAATGCTGGGGAGACGGGACACCACGAGCGTAGCTCTCATCCTGTAACTACACTTAAGTAATTACTGGTCAGACCCAGAGGCTTCGGCAGGGAGAGTGGATTTGAATGCCTCCGTCACCAGAAGGGGCATCCCCCGAGACCGCCCAAGACTAAAGACCATCTAAACCTTGCCCTGCCCTGACCTCGAAACCCTTAGACGCTTTGGGGCCGGAAGCAGGGGGGGAACCTGGATGCACCACAGCAGGGGAAGGACGAGGGGGTGCGGACTGAACCAAGGTCGAAGCGACCCCCACCCCCAAGTCTGGGTCCCTATAGCAAAACGGGGAAGCCTCGGGGCATCCGGGTGAGCAACCAATCTCACTCGTTGCAACAACCTAAACCGAGCTTGCAATGCCTGTGCCGCCCGTACCCATAGAACATCATCTTGAGATTGGGTAAACTGAGTCACGAGCAAGCAACATAACTCACATAATTCCGGGTCGAAGGTGTCACTGACCCAACAGGCAGCGTGACAGAGGCAAAAACCGTGAGGGTCACCCTGAGTCAATGGGACCGAGCAACCCTCGAACTCACACGAAGCGAGCGGGAACTCCAAGGACACATCCATCGGAACTACGCGATCCTTAGGAGATTCCCAGGGTCCTGAGTGCTTAACAGAAACTCACGCCCAGGTAATCCCTGGCAGAGTACTGCTAACCGGCACCCAAAACTACCAAACAACTGTCTAAAGCTGAATTCCAGGGATGTGTACACTCACGGGGACCTAGCAAGGGGCACCATCGGAAGAGAACCTTGCTCAGGTCAGGTACCAAAAAAAAGGGGGAAGAAAGGCAGACCCCCTACAAGGCAAAAAGAAAATGAAAAACAAAAACAAAACCCTGCAAGAGGACAACATACCCCAAGGAACAGAGCCGGCCGCTGTAAATGGTGAAAACAAGTTGCGCCCCACCAGTGCAAACTGCCTCTTACCCTAAGGTAAACCAGGAAGACAAAACCCCTAAGCACCTAAAGGGCAGCCAAAAACCGAGCAGTAATACGACCTAGCAGAGGCAGACCCCGAGGAACTTGTGGAAGGGATCCCCAAGCTCCAAGGGCGGTACATACAGAGCACCAAGGGACGATAACCCTAGGCGCATGCAACCCGAGTACTCCTGGCTCTCGCACCCATGGAAGACAGCCACCACACTCAAATAGTGCTGGAAACGCTGAAGCCAAACACATGATCTCGGACTCTAGCATCAGCCCGAGAACTGACGGGTGGATAGCCGGCGTGGGGGGTCTGGGGCTCCTCATTCCCCCCTCTCGGGGAGGGAGGGAGCTGCGCAGACAGCGGCGCGGCGACGTGCGATGTCATGCTTGTTTCTTTTAGGGGAGCTCAATCCACTCGTTTGGCTTTTGGTACCAATATTTTCACCAGAATAGGGGTTTGTTTTGGGATGCTTACCTTTCTGGGTCCCTGACCTGGTCGATGGCAGACATAGAATGCATCCAACTACATGGGGGTTTCTATAGGCCATTGCTCACAATGCCTCTCTGAAGGAGCCAGGTTCTGGCAGGTGGTCCCCGGTAGGCCCACAGAACGCCATACACATGACTGATGCCAAAGTCTAACATTAGCATATCAGCCTAATAAGCTCCGGGTAGCCAAAGGGGGCTCCTCCCATAAAATGCCCTCAAAACGCGAGCTCACATGCCCAGCAGTCACATGTAAATAAACAAGCCGCAGTGCCATCTTGGTAGCCAGGCGGGGAAGCACCCACAGAGAAGCAAAATGGCTACCAAAACAAAAGGAGAAGCGTTCAACGTAAGGGAGCCGAAATCACGCAAGCAAATGGGGAAAATGAAAGCAGATGGGAAAGGGGGATGACAAGCCCCCCCCTGCCCAGAAGGCACAAGGCCCAAGCAGTGGCAAACAGCCCTAGAATTGCTAGTGGGCTCCCCCATTAGGGCTCGCCCCACCCCAGCCCTAGGAACCTCCAACAGAGGCAGAGCCACTCTCCATGCCCACTACCCTAGTAGAAAGGCAGAGTACAAGGGAAAGGCAACAAGAAGGGGGCCTGCTGGTAATACCCAAAGGCCTTGGTGGGAGAAGCAGGCTCAAAGGCCTCCATCCCCGCAACGAATAGGGCAACCCCTGGAGCCGTCCACCCTGGGGCATTCGAGCAGGTAAGCAATCTAGTGCATTGCAATAACCTAAACCAACCAAGCAATGCGACAGCCGCTTAACCCCCAAGATCTTCCAAAGAAGAAGGGGGGTAAACTGGAGAATGAGCAGGGAACAGCCCTAAGTGCATGCAGTCCCAGTACACTACTGTACTCCTGGCCAACACGCCACAAACAGCAGGAAATACAAGGGCACAAAATCCTGTAGGAATAAGAGGCTAGAGTTGACAACCACCCCCAGAGCACTTCAGCCTATGAACTGAGGAGCTGGGCAGCTGACTCTCTCCGGAGGGAGAGAGTTGTGTGGACAAGCGGCGCGGTGGTGGTGGTTAACATTTGCTTCTTTGCGTGCTTTCCTTGTTTTCTTCTGGGGAGTTGTGTTTCTCCGTTCGGTCTTGGGTTTTTTGCAATTTCCTAACATGTGGGGGTTTGTTTTGAGATGATTATCTTTCTGGGTGCCTAACACCCTGGTCAATGGCAGCCAGGGAATACCTCCAAATACAAGGGGGTTCCCCTAGGCCATTGCTCCTGCGTCTCTCTGAGAGGGCCAGTTTCTGGCTCGTGATGCCCGGTAGGCAGAAATCCATTGACTGAAGCCCCAGACTAATATAGCGTATATCAGTCCTATAGCTTCAGGGAGCCATAGGGACTCCACACAGAAATACCGATCTTATGTAATCCCACAATCCCATTGTACCTTCTTGTGAATAAAATTTATTATTATTATTATTATTATTATTATTATTCTGTATGTTACGCTGCATGCAACATACAAACCAAACACATTCTTCACAGGGTGTAGAGTGACAACCACTGACACCACTTGCCTCCCACTACAACAATGAAATTTTTACAATGAAAACAAAAATCTTACCTTGAAGAAGATGATCTACGGCGAGGAAATGGAGCTGAGAGATGTCTCGTATAATGATAATCAGAATCTGAGACAGAACGACAATGGGGCAGCTCTGTATGATATGCACCATCACTGCTGATTGATTTGCGATACACCCGAACATTTTCACCAATTTCTTCACCTGTTATGGAATATAGTAGTACAGAAGTGTTTAATATTTTATATTCTTCATATATTTTGTTTTACAATTTTAAATTGAATAAAATACCATTGTTGAATGTAATGAAACTCCATTTTCTGGGCGAGCCCCGGAGGCTCCCCAGAGCTTACTGGGGTTCTTGCCTACCGGGGACCATGAGCCAGAACCTGGCTCCATCTAGAGAGGCTAGGGAAGCAATGGCCTATGGAAATTCCCATGTATTTGGAAGCATTCCATATCTGCCTTCGACTGAAGTTGGCACCCAGAAAGATAGGCATCACAAAACAAACCCCACATAGTAAAAAAAAAATTACTAGTATTGCTACCCTAAGATCGAACAGAGAAAACAACTCCTCAATTCTAAAACAAGCAATCGTCACACCCCGCCGTCGCTTCACTCATTTGTACAGGTCCTCTACCCCCCAGGAGAGGGGGGAAGGGGGGCCCCCCTGATCTCCTGTGCCGGCTTCTCCACCATTCAGTACCGAGGCTGAGCATGAAAAACCAAGCAAAAACCACCGACCGGAGGGAGGGAGGGAGGGAGGGTGCCAGAGAGCCTGTGGGGGCTCACCCAGAAAATGGCATTTCATTACATTCAAGAGGACAAAACCTACCACCAGGATCGAAATAGCAGAAACCCCTGGAGTGAAGGAGAGCATGAAACTCCCTGACCTGACTCCCAGAGGCCATTGCCAACAGGAAAAGAGAAGAGAGAAAAGAGAGCACTCGGTCCAAAAACCAGGATGACTCAGGCGGTGCATGAGCAGGTTGGAGGTGAAACAACATACGTGAAAGCTTACGGAACAGGGCTGAAGTCATCCACCCCGAAAGCAAGCTGAAGTGGTTCTGCCAGTGCCGCACGATACGAGGTGACAGTATTAGGCATCATATGCCAGTCCCAAAAATGCCAAGAAATAAAAGACAACCCGAACAGAAATGGAAGACAACCTATGAAGAAACAAAAAGTGGCGAAAAGAATGTCAGGAAACCTCATACTGTCGTCGAGATGAAGCTCTTGGGTGGGACGCCATCAATGAAGCCACCTGATCACCATACAGATGGTGATACAACCGTGTAAAAAAATTAGACACGAAGAGCGAAGTAGAAGATCGAACCAGCCATGTACAGCACCAGCCCAATCAGCTGAAAGAGGAGGAGCCACAGAAAATATCTCGGGCTCAGACACCGAACACGACTACTCTCCCCTGGAAAGTCTCCAACCGAGCCAGAACCCGAAGCAACAGCTGGACCGGGTGGAAGACGGACAAGTAATCCCACCTCAACCAGTCCTGCCAAAAAGCGCCCACTGCAATGGCCTCGCAGTAGGGTAAGGGCGCCACATACACTGGAAGACACTGGGACCACGCCAAAGATAAGAGGTCCACCTCCGGGAGTTCATGAGTCTGGCAGAGCCAACTGAAGGAGTTGGCACCAACCGTCCATTTTGTGGACAGGGATAATGAACCGAGACAGGCAGTCTGCCAGGCTGTTGGAAAGCCCCCGGATATGAACCGTACGGAGAGCCAAACCCTGAGAATCCAACAGACGAATCACTTGAAGTGACCAGCCCCAAAGAGCCAAGGACCGAAGAGAACCCCCCCGCAGTTCAGGAAATGAACCACTGGAGTATAGTCCAATTGGAGCTAGATGGTCAAACCCCGAATGACCCGAATCCTCTGAAGTGATAGGCAAACAGCCGTGAACTCCTGCACCTTGTTGTGAGCCCGACGGAAGGACGGGGCCCACCGACCCCTGGCCGACTTGTTAAGCACTGGTCACAAAGCCCCAGTCGAGAGACGAAGCATCTGTGAACACATCGAGCGAGGGCTTGGGTAGGCAACACGGCAATGAACCCCCAAAAAACCTGAAGAGAAAGCCGGCGATGCAGTAACTGGCACTAGGCCCCTGGAGGCTGAACCTAGCTATTACGAGAGCAGTGGAAGGGAGGGCCCCAAAGAAACCAGAATAGCCACTGAAGGCAAACCCAACCCGGCAAGTAAACTAGCATGGCGAAGTTCAGATTCCCACACAGCTGCTCGAGTGACCCCCAAGTAACCTGGGAGCCCCTCAAAAACAGCTGAAGGCGGGACAGAAGCCACAGTAACACCTCCAGAGGGAGAGAGACAAGGAAGCAATTCAAGAACCCCACACAAGACCCAGCTATGTTCGAACCTGAGACAGGACCAGATGAGACATCATCCAATTCACCAGGAAACTAAACCCGGCAAGCTGGGAAAGAACCACATCCCTGGCGAGCAGACATGCAGATCGATGGGGAGCCCACACCAGCCAGTCACCGAGGTTGGCCAAAACCCAAACCTCCCTAACAAACGCAGGCGGGTCACCACGACCCAGGTAAGCTGCGCAAGTACACGAGGTGCCAGATTTAAGCCAAAAGGCACTGAAAGCAGTAAGCCTGATGCCCCACCACGAAACCTAACCAGTCCCTGAATCCCAGATAAATAGGAATGTGCCAATATGTGTCCTTGAGATCCAGGGACACAATCCAGGCATCCGGCTCCAAAGGAAGCCGGACCTGAGACAGAGTGGTCATCCGAAAAGAGGGGCAAGGAATCCAGGGGTTCAGACGGGACAAATCCAGAATAAACCGCAGATCCGCATAGTCCCGTTTCGGCACTGGAAACAGGCGGGAAAGTACAACACTGAAACCCCTGCGACATGTACAATCATGGTGGGCCTAGCAGAGGACCACCAAAATATTAATAGTGGAACTATAGCCACACCAGGCAAACCCCCCACGAGGCAAGAAAACAAAAATAAAAGAAAAAACCCACAAAAGTACAGTGTCTCCAGAGGAAACAGGAACTGGCCATCGCATAGATAGGCAGGCTGCACAACACCTTGATACCCCAACAGCACAATACCACTTCCTACCCAAGTCACAGCCCCATCACTGATGAGGAACACCTGGCCACCACACACAACACAGCAGATGTTGCCACGAAAACAAAACACCACCAAGGAATTTGAGGCCAAAGAAGCATCTGCCCCGGATCAAACGAACTGGATGACTGAGTGGCAGGCGCGGGGAGGGGAGGGCTGTGTGGACGAGGCGTGGCAGTGAAGTGTGATGTTTGCTTATTTGCTTGTTTCCTTGGGATTGGAAGTAGTTCTACCTCTCTGTTCGGTTTTTAGTTGGTAGTTTCTTACCATGTGGGGTTTGTTTTGTTATGCCTACCATTCTGGGTGCCTAACCCTGGTCGATGGCAGATAAGGAAAAACCCCAACCACAGGGGGATTTTCCAGGGCCATTGCTCCCTGCAACCTCTCTGAAGGGGCCAGGTTCTCACTCGTGGTCCTTGGTGGGTCGAACTCCATAGCTAATGCCCTGGCCGGCTATATCACACATTAGCCTGATAGCTCCAGGGAGCCATAGGGGGCTCCCGACAAGAAAATATCTCCAAACCCAGGGATCAACTTGTCCACCGAATATAAAATGTGAAATGTGAGAGATAAACAAGTGAAATGCCCAGCCTAACACTCGTTGTACACCACTTTTCATAACTATCGCAGCCCATCATAATTATTGAGATAATTTCACTCGTGAAATTATCAAAATTTATCAGCAAACTGGTGAGGGAGGGAGGGAGGGAGGGAGGGAGGGAGGCAGCTAGGCAAGGCAGGAGGGAGGGAGGCAGCCAGGCAAGGCAGGAGGGAGGGAGGCAGCCAGGCAAGGCAGGAGGGAGGGAGGCAGCCAGGCAAGCAAGCAGGGAGGGAGGCAGCCAGGCAAGGCAGGAGGGAGGGAGGCAGCCAGGCAAGGCAGGAGGGAGGGAGGCAGCCAGGCAAGGCAGGAGGGAGGGAGGCAGCCAGGCAAGGCAGGAGGGAGGCAGGTAGGGAGGAAGGCAGGCAAGCAGGGAGGGAGCGAGCCAGGCAAGCAGGGTGGGAGCGAGCGAGCCAGGCAAGCAGGGTGGGAGCGAGCGAGCCAGGCAAGCAGGGTGGGAGCGAGCGAGCCAGGCAAGCAGGGATGGAGGGAGCGAGCCAGGCAAGCTGGGAGGGAGGGAGCGAGCCAGGCAAGCAGGGAGGGAGGGAGCGAGCCAGGCAAGCAGGGAGGGAGGGAGTGAGCCAGGCAAGCAGGGAGGGAGGGAGCGAGCCAGGCAAGCAGGGAGGGAGGGAGCGAGCCAGGCAAGCAGGGAGGGAGGGAGGAAGCGAGCCAGGCAAGCAGGGAGGGAGGGAGGGAGCGAGCCAGGCAAGCAGGGAGGGAGGGAGCGAGCCAGGCAAGCAGGGAGGGAGGGAGCGAGCCAGGCAAGCAGGGAGGGAGCGAGCCAGGCAAGCAGGGAGGGAGCGAGCCAGGCAAGCAGGGAGGGAGGGAGCGAGCCAGGCAAGCAGGGAGGGAGCGAGCCAGGCAAGCAGGGAGGGAGCGAGCCAGGCAAGCAGGGAGGGAGGGAGCGAGCCAGGCAAGCAGGGAGGGAGGGAGTGAGCCAGGCAAGCAGGGAGGGAGGGAGCGAGCCAGGCAAGCAGGGAGGGAGGGAGCGAGCCAGGCAAGCAGGGAGGGAGGGAGGAAGCGAGCCAGGCAAGCAGGGAGGGAGGGAGCGAGCCAGGCAAGCAGGGAGGGAGGGAGCGAGCCAGGCAAGCAGGGAGGGAGGGAGCGAGCCAGGCAAGCAGGGAGGGAGCGAGCCAGGCAAGCAGGGAGGGAGCGAGCCAGGCAAGCAGGGAGGGAGGGAGCGAGCCAGGCAAGCAGGGAGGGAGCGAGCCAGGCAAGCAGGGAGGGAGTGAGCCAGGCAAGCAGGGAGGGAGCGAGCCAGGCAGGCAGGGAGCCAGGCAGACAGGGTGCCAGGCAGACAGGGTGCCAGGCAGACAGGGTGCCAGGCAGACAGGGAGCCAGGCAGACAGGGTGCCAGGCAGACAGGGTGCCAGGCAGACAGGGTGCCAGGCAGACAGGGAGCCAGGCAGACAGGGTGCTAGGCAGGCAGCAAGCCAGGCAGTCAAGAAGGGAATGAGCCATGTAGAGAGGGAGCAAGCCA